TGGTGATATTTTCTCTAGAGAGGGGAGCGCATTTCTGAAGATCACGCACCACGAGCTCTGTCCACTCGGCGACGCGAGCCGAGTGGAGCCGAGATAAAATTATTTATTAATAAATTAGTGTTTTCTATGTCAGTTGCTGCACAGATAAAGATTGCATTGACGATGCAAACTGGCATCTTCACGGAACACGAATAGCCTAATGCACACTTCATATGAATAAGCCTATAGCAGAGAGCAGCCCATTTCTTTTAGCTTGTATTTGTTTTGTTTAAAAGTATAGACATTTCAAGCTTACTATATATATATACACTTCTCAGATCATTAAGACATGTATCTTATATGCCGAGTTTCAGTTCATGCATGAATCGCGCTCCAGTCACGCGTCGGCGCGTGTCCTGATTACTATCTTTGCTTTTTATTTATTAATCCAGGCAATTCGTTGATGAAAAAAATAAATAAATGAAGATGCAATTTATTCAAAACGAAATTCGTTTTAAAGAAAGGCTTTGTACAAAACAAAACGTAATAAGTGGTCATAATCATTTCTGACTGACCCAACGTGTTTTCTATGTCAGTTGCTGCAAAGAAAAAGATTGCATTGACGATGCAAACTAGCATCTTCGCGGTAGGGAACGCGAATAAAGAGTAATGCACACTTCATATGAATTAGCCTAAACATAAGCAGAGAGCAGCCAATTTATTTTAGATTGTTTGTTTTGTTTAAAAGTAAACATTTCAAGCTTACTATAGGCTATATATACACTTCTCAGATCTTGTTTCTTATATGCGAGGTTCAGTTCATGTATGAGTCGCGCTCCAGTCACGCGCCGGCGCGTCTCCTGATCACTATATTTGCTTTTCATTAATTAATCCAGGCAATTCGTTGATGAAAAAAAAAATTAAAATGAAGATGCAATTTATTCAAAACGAAATTCGTTTTAAAGAAAGGATTTCTACAAAACAAAACGTAATAAGTGGTCATAATCATGTCTGACTGACCCATTCCAAATGTTTTCCGATATTTCGGATTTTATGATCTTATCTTATTCATCTCATGAAGTTCTCTTTTCATAAAATCAACATACATAGAAAAACATCATATTATTAAAAAAATATGAAAGGAATACGTTTTTTTTTTCAAACCTAGCTTAAGCGTTACACGGTCCGGCCCGCTGTAGACTATGCATGTGTGGGTGCATGTGGTGGTGGGGCACAATTTTCAAATAATAATCGAATAATACCAGGCAATATTTAAATATTATTTTTGCTTGAAATGCCCATCCCTGCCAAACTGCAGAAGTCGTGTTCTTCTTCGAGACCAAGTCACTCGGTGCGCAACTTGCAATCTTTGCCCTCTCTCCCCCACTCTCTCGTCACCACACTGTCAAGTCATGAGAACCAGATATAAGCATTTTAGCCATTAAATAAATTGTATTTAAAACATTGCATTTATATAGGAGACAAGGATTCCTTGTCTCCTATTTAAGTGCATTGTTTTTTTTTCTGACGGTATGACGATATTGAAACTGATACCGTTGCTATTTTTAGATCCTGTGGTATACGATATTACCGTAATACCGCCCAAGCGTATGCAGTGGTATAAAGCTTTGGATGCAGTGGTGTAAAGCATGGGATGGAGTGGAGTTAAGCATGGGATGGAGTGGTGTAAAGCTTGGGGTGCAACGGAACTCCCATAACCAGGATTATAGCTTGTCAAGTGTTGAAAATTGTATATAGTGTTTGAACAAACGTGTCAGAAAAAAGTGCACTTTCCACACGGCCCCTTACTCGTGTCTCCGTCAAGAGCGAGCTTTCCCGGCGAAACTCACATTACGGTGGCTTTTGGGGGGCAGTGCTTATTATATAGAGCGAAGTCATATTTGGCTAAGTCGTTTAGGAGGTAATTGCCATTTTTCAATGAATGTCTGGTGAATATCAAAAACAAAATTAACTTTACCCCGCTTAGAAGCTGCGCGGAGTGTACACAACACACACAACACAATATAACATACGGCCGCAGGTCAGATGAAACGACCACAAAGTCGATCATCGACCTACGACCTAGGGTGTCCTGGTGCCACATGCACTGGTGGACACCCTTATGCTTGAACATGGTGTTCATTATGGACAAACTGTAACTAGCACAGAAGTCTAATAACTGAACATTGTGGGGGTAAACTCCAACAATACCTAATGACTCGTTTCAAAAACAATTCATTTCATAGACTCAGAGTCGACTCTCATTTTTGAAAGACAATAACTTTATACACGGTGCACTTTCAGATATAAATCTTTGCAGGATTTTTTCATTCCCTTAGAGCTATATTCCACACAACATGAACAGTCATTTCCAAAAATCCATGATAGGTGCTCTTTAATACGCAGTTTATAAATATAGCTATAAATGCTTTTTCTTGATTTATAAGCATATCTATAATGCGTTTAATAATTGTATTTTAATACTTTGTTAATGATCAATTAATAATAATAATAATATTAATAAAATTAATAAATCTTAATGAAGTGTAGCATTATTTAGAAACCAGTTGTTTAAGAGTTGTCAGTCATTCATAGGATCACTTAGAAAGTGTAAGTAAATGTAGTAAATACAGGTACTTATAAAGCATTTGGTAGTGGTCAGTTAACTTTTTGTGAGCTAATCTAAAGTGAGGACTATTCATGCTTTGTAAAGCATTTATAAAGGCGATTTAAAGACTCGTCAATCTTCTAAACAGTAAAATGTAACAAACACAACGCAGTGATACAGAACATATAAATATTTAACAGCCTTTAAAAATGCTTTACAAGGCATGAATAGTCCTCACTTTAGATGAGCTCACGAACATAGTTAAAGGTTCTCTAAGCGATGTGGGGCCAAAACATTTTTTGTCACATACATCAAACGTCTCCTCACTATCGGCTAGCTGCCTGTCCCCTAAACACACTGTAAAAAAAACGCGGCCTCTGTAGACACCACAGGCTCCAAAAACAGCAACAAAAACAATCATGTCTCACCCGGACCACGAAACCTAACAAACAGTGTTCCAGCCAATCACTGGCAAGAAGTATTTGAGGGTGGGTCTGGGGGGTTAGTGCGCGTGCACATGAAGGGGGTGTGCGTGTGAAGGAGAGAGAAGCATAAGAGGGAAGTTTGAAAAATGTTCGAAACACGACCAAAGAGACGTCATTCTGAGGAACAAATTAAAAAGAAGAAGGAGTCGGATAAAGAACGTGCGAAGTTCCGAATTTACATCGGTAGCAAAGCTTTTTAACGATGGCGAGAACTCCGGCGGCAGAAGGGCTTCCAGTCCGACATTCAGGTTGCTCTGTTTTTGCTGGACAGGTGGGTAACGTTAAATTGTTTTTTTTTTTCTTCTAAATTGACGCTTATGTTCGCCAAACCCACACAAGGATATAATTAGCTAGAAATGCACGTTCACAATTATTTCAGGAAGGACAGAAGGGAGGGGGAGGAGATGAGATGCGGAGGAGGGAGGGTCTAGCTAGCCTCCGATTTGTTTGAAAATATTCCGAAGGTCAACACCCAGGATCGCTCAGAGAACCTTTAACTGACCACTCCTAAATGCTTTATAACTACCCAAATTAACCCTGAATTACAGCATTAATACATGTTAATAAAGCATTTAATACACTAAGTAATAAGATGTATGAATGTACATTTAAATAGTTTCTTAATCATTTACTTACCATTTTAAGTAATCTTACGAACCACCAACAACTCTTAAATAACTGGTTCATAAAAAATGCAATTCTTCATTTAGAAATGATAAATTGATCATTAACAAAGGATGAAAATACAATTATTAAAAAAATTATAGATGTGCTTTTAAATCAAGAAGAAAGCATTTATAGCTCTATTTATAAACTGCTTATTAATGTCTATTAATGCTTTATGAATGATGAATTAATGGTTTACTCATACTTAACTAATTATTATTCGCGTGTAGTTATTATAAAGTGTTACCATAAAAGGTATTTAAAACATACAAGGCTTAAGACATTTAAAAAAATGCATTCTATATTTCTGTTGTGCTTTTCACTCCATTGTACCGAAATCGAAATCTGTGTACAGTTCCATCCCTAGTGTTGTCGTCATACTATGAATTACGTTAAGCTATGGTAAAAGTGGTAACCACCAGACCTGGAGATCGGCTGAATGGTTTCCTAAATGGTATAAGAACAATTGTTTTGCTCGAGGGGAGGTGGAAAATGAGCTTAATGGGCTCTATGCACGGCGGTATTTCCGGTGAAAGTTTATGGATGCTCGATAACTTCCGCCGATCGTAGAGTACAATGCAATACTGAGAATAAATATTGAATTTTATACTCCATGGCTCAACTAAAGAAACGTTAGTCACAAAAACAGATAAAACAGACACCCCTTGTTGTGTTTATGCTTCATTTTAAAATTATATTAAATAAACATAACTATATACAAAATTACATCTAAACGTATGAAAGTTTCGTTTCAAAGACGGGAGGACAGTAAATTTTGAAGACTCTGCAATAATCCCATTTTCCTCTGCTTTAATCTTCCCAACCGGAAACTGTTGAGCATCCTTGCGTCAAATGCGGAACTTATGCGTGCATTCCCCCAAATGGTGGAATATCCCTGTACCATTAGCTAGGCTTATCGTTAGCTGGGTGCTCTGCCCTGACTTCTTATGATACAGTGCATGTGTAAGATACAAACTTCCTGGTTGGCAGGCAAAGACTTAAGATATGTATGCTGATTTTCACGCTCAGAAATGTGTCATTTGCATTTTAAAATCACAAAAAAAATGTAGCACCCCCCCACAAATACTGTATCAATATTCCAACCTCTAGTATCGATACGTGCATTCATATCACATGTTGTGAAGAGGTAGAGTTACACTCACGGGACACTGCAATTCACAAAAGTTAATTAATTGTGCTTTAAAGCCTTTCCGGTTGAACATTACATTTGTGTGTGTGTGTTTGTGTGTGTGTGTGTGCAGCACCATCTCCTCCATCCTGGGCGCCTGGTTGGATCAGTACTCTGAGGACTTCTGGAAGCCCCCGGATTACTCCTGTCTGAGGCGCCTGATCCACTACTTGCAGCTCAACTTCCCAGGATCCGACCTGGAGCGCCGGGCCTGTAATCTCTTGAGCCAGTTCCACCGCAGACTCACGCAGGAATCACACCAGGAGGGTTCGTCCCCAATCATTCCTTCATCTCCTCTCATTCCTTCATCTCCACTCAGTCCTTCATCTCCTTTCATTCCTTCATGTCCACTCATTCCTCCATCACCAATCAGTACTTCATCTCCACTCAGTCTTTCATCTCCACTCAGTCCTTCATCTGCACAGTCCTTCATCTCCGCTCATTGCTTCATCTCCTCTCAGTCCTCCAGCTCCTCTCATTCCTTCATCTCCACTCATACCTTCATCTCCACTCAGTCCTTCATCTGCACTCAGTCCTTCATCTCCACTCATTCCTTCATCTCCACTCATTCTTCCTTCATCTCCACTCATTCTTTCATCTTCCTTCATCTTCATCTCCACTCATTCTTTCATCTCCACTCATTCCTTCATTTTCACCCAGTCTTTCATTTCCACTTAGTACTTCATCTCCTCTCAGTCCTTCATCTCCACTCATTCCTTCATCTCCTCTCAGTCCTTCAGCTCCTCTCATTCCTTCATCTCCACTCATTCCTTCATCTCTACTCAGTCTTTCATCTCCACTCAATCCTTTATAGTGTTGCACGGTGCACCGATACTTCAAAAATATTGCAATACTCGGAAATTAAAAACCTCACGATACCTAAATTTATTAGTATCGATACTTTTATGAATGACCGCAACCCAGATATGTAAGAGACGTATTTCATGTTGGTGTGTGCCACGCACGCTTCCAGTCTCTCCCTATGAACGTCTGTTTCTCCTCACGCACGCAGCAAAGAAGCTGCAGCTGTCATGAGAGAAACACTACCGCGAGACGGCTGCATGCGCGAGCACACGTGATACAGTGGCCGCCTGTCAGTAGCGGAGTGGCAATCAGTAGAGTTGGATCTTTTCCCGGTGGGCCGGTGGTGTTTCGAGGCCGCGAGGGACGGTGTGGTGAAGAGATGAGTCATTAATGACTCGTTATAATGTACTTCAAACGTCTTATAATAAAGTGATTTTCTCTAATTTGTAACCAGGCACTAAAGCGATTACCCATTAAACTAGCTTTGAACCAGTCGGATCGCTTGGGTCCTAAGGTGGTTATCTGCTAGTTAACTAGAGATGTTTCATTTATTTTTGTATTAGGTGTACAACTTTCCCCCCAACTTTCATAGATAGCATAAATAATTTTCAAGGTGCTAAAATAAAGGATACAAAACATCAGCAAAATGATCTATCGCAGAGGTCTCAAACTCGCGGCCCAATTTTGTGGCCCCCTACTTGATATTAAAGTTTAATGTTAGTGCGGCCCGCCGTTGCGTTTGCCGCGTTTTTTTATTATTAATATTTTTATCCCTTATGGGCTACCATATATAGTCTCGTGACAGCTTACGGTGGGTTTGTTGTCAGTTGTCATAGACAACCACGAAGTACAAATATACTGCGCCTGGAAAAAATGAGCGCGTCGCTTGAATTATGAGCGCACTGGGCGCTTGATGCGCGCCTACATCTGAAACGTACTTGAGCGTGCAAAATATGTGAGCGCGATATGTGAACAAGGCGAGCTACCACCACCAAATCAGGCCACAGCTAATGATAGCTCGCGAGCGACGTGTTGGATACCCCTGCTCTAAAACAATGTGAGAATAATCATTTTGAGCTTGTAATATGCGTTGCGTCTGAACGCGTTCAATGAAAGATATAGTTCATGATCTTGTTCATATTTTGGGCGAACGTGAACTGAACGTAGCCTACTGTATTACTGCCTGATGAACGTTACAGTGAACTCGTTCATTCTAGTAGTGTCTGTGAACCGAGGAGCAAGGAGGCGTCGTAAGATCATTTAAAAGGCTTTTATGAGGTCGGTGAGGATGGGAAAATCTTACATGTCTGTGCAAACTTTGCCCGTCGACAAAATTATTGTTATCTGTGGTTGTATATGGGCTGTGGCAATAATAATACCATAATAATAAAAAAGAAGCTCGCAGCAACATATGGAAAAAAAGAACTAACTAGTTCATTTTAAAATTTGTGAACTGAACTTGGTCCAACAGGTTGATAAGAAGGTTTGCTTTGATATGTGCAAAGTCAGTTATTTTAGTAAAAAAGAGACACTATACATGTGTTGAAATAATTATTTGTATTTCAAAAGCAGTAATTGTTTTTCTAAGTATAATAAAAGGAAATGTGCCTTTCGGAAAAAAAAAAAAAAATTCAATATAATAGTGTTGTATAAAGAAAATAAAAAGCAAATTTGACTATCATCACGAAGATGTTGTGTATAAGAAAAAGACAGAAAGTTTGTAAAATGAACTTTAACTGTCAGAAGGACAGCTCATGAAGAACCAATCATGTACAGAAAGGATGTTCAAACAGTTCAGGAACAGCTCAAAAGAAACGTTAATAATAAAGATTGAGAAGATTGGATCAGTTGTGCTCCATTTTTGGAATACTTAAATACAATTTTTTTTTTTTTTGTAATACTTGATGCGGCCCGGCCTGACCCAGACTCTATCTCCAGCGGCCCCCAGTTAATTTGAGTTTGAGACCCCTGATCTATTGGCTATATGATTATAATCAGAGCATGTGCATGTCAGTGATTTATTTATATTAGGTTATTACAGCATTAAAGAGCACAGACCTATGCAAAGGAGGTGCATATGAAACACCTTGTAAGAAATACTTTCCTTTTCAGGAAAAGTATCGAAAAAGTGTCGAAATCGCAATACTTGACTTGGTATCGGTATCGAAACAATAATTTTGGTATCGTGACAACACTACTCCTTTATCTCCTCTCATTCTTTCATTTCCACTAATTCCTTCATCTCCACTCAGTCCTTCATCGCTACTCAGTCCTTCATCTCTACTCAGTTCTTCATCTCCTCTCAGTCCTTCAGCTCCTCTCATTCCTCTATCTCCACTCAGTCCTTCATCTCCACTCAGTCCTTCATCTCTACTCATCTCTACTCAGTCCTTCATCTCTACTCAGTTCTTCATCTCCACTCAGTCCTTCATCTCTACTCAGTTCTTCATCTCCACTCAGTCCTTCATCTCCTCTCAGTCCTTCATCTCTACTCAGTCCTTCATCTCTACTCAGTTCTTCATCTCCTCTCAGTCCTTCAGCTCCTCTCATTCCTTCATCTCCACTCATTCCTCTATCTCCACTCAGTCATTCATCTCCACTCATTCCTTCATCATCACTCATTCCTTCATCATCACTCATTCCTTCATCTCCACTCATTCCTTCATTTTCACCCAGTCTTTCATTTCCACTTAGTTCTTCATCTCCACTCAGTCCTTCATCTCCACTCAGTCCTTCATCTCTGCTCATTCCTTCATCTCCTCTCATTCCTTCATCTCCACTCATTCCTCTATTTCCACTCAGTCCTTCATCTCCACTCATTCCTTCATTTTCACCCAGTTTTTCATTTCCACTTAGTTCTTCATCTCCACTCAGTCACTCAGTCCTTCATCTCCACTCAGTCCTTCATCTCTACTCAGTTCTTCATCTCCACTCAGTCCTTCATCTCCACTCATTCTTTCATCTCCTCTCCGTCCTTCATCTCCACTCAATCCTTCAGCTCCTCTCATTCCTTCATCTCCACTCATTCCTTCATCTCTACTCAGTCCTTCATCTCCACTCACTCCTTTATCTCTTCTCATTCTTTCATGTCCACTCATTCCTTCATCACCAATCAGTCCTTCATCTCCACTCATTCCTTCATCTCCACTCAGTCCTTCATCTCAAGTCAAGTCACATTTATTTATATAGCGCTTTTTACAATACAGATTGTATCAAAGCAGCTTCACAGTGATACCATAATAACAATACAAGCTTGTTTCTAGAAGAAAAATTGTATTACTGTCCACCTTAATTAAGGCATATCAATAATATTGTTGTATATTAAATGTCCCCAACTAAGCAAGCCAAAAGCCAAGTCAACAGTGGCAAGGAACCAAAACTCCATCAGCTGAAAGAATGGAGAAAAATACCTTGGGAGAAACCAGACTCAGTTGGGGGCCAGTTCTCCTCTGGCCAACAAAGGAACAGTGTATGATTCGGGTCAGATTGGATCGGAATATGTAGAGTATTTATCCATTTCATCTGTTTGGAAGACAAAGTAATCAGGCCGGTATGGAGACGAGTTGTTGAGGATCAGTGCCGATGGCTGTCGTGTCGATGAGGCCGGCACTTAAGGATGAGTGGGGATTAGAGGATGGATACCCGAACCGAGCCCGAAGGGACCCGACGGTACCCGACGGGCCGGGCCGGGTTCGAACAAATATTTTGAAATGACGTTCGGGTTCGGGTCGGGCTCGGTCACGTCGGCGCGATAAGGCATTTAACATTTGAAATTTAAAACAGTTTTATTATATTGTTTAACTGGATGCAAATGTTTGTTTTTGTGATTAAAATAAATTTTAAATATTACCCTAACCTCCATCTCCATGTGTGCGGAAATTTGTTTATGTTGCTGTGACAACGTGCAACACGTGCGTGCATAATATTGCATATTGGGCTACATGTGGCTGGCAGCGCAAAAATGGAAGACGTTAAAAAGACATTGGCCTCAGGAGATTTTAAAACCACCGAAAATAAAGGAAAGTCGACTGTGTGGAAGTTTTTCTACATTGTTGTCAAGGCTGATAGTGATGAACATGTTGGTTATGTTCAATGTAAGAGTTGTGGATTTCTCATGAAATATGACAGCAAGAGGACCGGGAATTCCGCCTTGCAGCGTCATGTGGATAAAAATTGTAAGTCACCTGGGCTACTGCAGCCGAGTATCACTGCCTTTGCTAGTTCCTCAAAAAAAATTCCTCAGCGGGACAAACAAAAACTGACTGAAAAATGCGTTGAGTACTGCTGTAAAGACATAAGGCCATTTCGTTCCATTGAAGGAGGGGGTTTCATTGAGCTGGCCCAGCAGCTTATTAACATCGGTGCAACATATGGTTCAGTGGCAGCGCAGGATGTACTGCCTGATCCCACCACTGTGTCAAAACGGTGCCGTGAGCTGGCAATAGAGAAACGCGCAAAGCTGG